ACAGGATCGACTGGAACAACAGCTCCGCCAGGCGGCCAGACACCATCCGACTCCCGAAGTGAGTGGGCATCATCATCTCACTAAACTCAGCGACCTGGATGATATTGACGCTTACTTACATACTTTTGAAGTTATTGCCGAGAGAGAAGGCTGGCCGAAGGAAAACTGGGCGAGAATGTTGGCTCCGTTTCTCACAGGAGAAGCACAAAGAGCATATTTTTCACTAGAGACACCTAAAAATGAAGATTACAAAGCGTTAAAAAAGGAGATATTAGCCAGAATGGGGCTCTCCACAATCAGCGCAGCACAACAGTTTTCCCAGTGGGCTTATGATGAGAAACAGCCAGTGCGGACTCAAGCAGCTCAACTTTCTCGCCTAGGAAGACTATGGTTATTAGGAGGAGATCCTTCGGCAGTCCAGGTCGCTGAGAAGGTGATTATCGAGAAGATGATGCGAGCGTTACCCCGACATTTGCGAACACTCACCAGCATGCGAAATCCTGAGTCACTGGCCACCCTGGTGGAGGCGATCGAGCTGGCTGAAGCTCACATCGCCAGAGACAATGGGGAGAGAGCGGCTCTGCCACCCCGGAGGGTAAGTGCACCATGGCGACCGGTGGACGGTACAGCACGACCAGGCGGCAGACCAGCGGTCCCCAGCCCGATGGACGAGCCGATGCCCACCGAGCCGACGACGCACTCGACCCCGGCCTGGAAAGCAGGGTGCGCGGTACACCGCAACATCCCTCCCGAAGCTCCCACCCATAAAATCCTGTTAGAGGGAAAAACACAAACGGCCACGTTAGACACAGGAAGCGCCATCACTCTGGTTCACCCGAAGACTTTGAAATACCACCATGAAAGCAAAGGGCGAATTCCGATCACGTGTGTGCACGGTGATACCCGCCACGTACCCGCCCGAAGAGTGACCATCGCGGCGAAACCAGGCAGCTGGCGCATCGATGTCGGGGTTGTTCCGGATCTTCCTGTGCCCCTCATACTGGGCAGAGACTGGCCGGGGTTCGACGAACTCCTGACTCACCACCACGCCTCATCGGCTCGTTCAAAGAAGAAGAACAAGTCACAGGCTCATCAGGACCGCAAACCAGCGCTGATGACCACCGAGAGCGACAGAGGGGGTGAGTCATCCATATCCGCTAATTTAAACTTTGACCTGTTTCAACAGATAACCGCAGGAGGCGATTTTGGCAGAGCACAAAGGGAAGATGAGACGCTCAAACACTGCTGGCCGCAAGTAAGGATCATTGACGGTAATGAGCGACTTCCCAGCCCTCACCCCCTCCCACACTTTATTGTGGAAAATGGTCTGCTGTACTGTGTTGCAGAGAGGCGGGGGGAAAAGAATACCCACCCGATGGCTGGACATCTGGGAGCGGCCAACACGGTAAAAAGGATCCGCGACCGTTTCCATTGGCCGGGGCTAGACGGGGAAGTGAAGAGGTATTGCCAGGCATGTGACATCTGCCAGAGAATGTCTCCCCAACGACCACCCCCCAGCCCTCTAATAACACTACCCATCATTGATGTGCCCTTCACCCGCATTGGTATGGACTTGGTAGGGCCTTTGCCGAAGTCGGCCCGGGGACATGAACACATCCTTGTTATCCTCGATTATGCCACCAGATACCCTGAAGCGATTCCCCTGAGAAAAGCCACGTCATCGGCCATCGCGAAGGAGCTGTTTCTGCTATGCAGTAGAGTGGGAATTCCAGCAGAGATACTGACCGACCAGGGCACCCCCTTCATGTCCCGGTTGATGGCAGACCTCTGTCACCTCCTCAAGGTAAAACAAATAAAAACCTCAGTATACCATCCACAGACTGACGGCCTTGTTGAGAGGTTTAACAAGACTCTGAAACAGATGCTCCAACGGGTGGTGGCAGAGGACGGGCGCGACTGGGACCTCATGATCCCGTACGTGTTGTTTGGAATCAGGGAAGTTCCTCAGGCCTCCACAGGTTTTACCCCCTTCGAACTGCTGTTTGGCCGCCAACCCCGAGGGCTATTGGATGTGGCTCGTCAAGCCTGGGAACAGGAGCCAGCCCCCCAGCGGTCGGTGATTGAACACGTATGGGACATGAGAGAACGCATTGAGAAAGTCATGCCCATCGTCAAACAACACCTGACCGAAGCCCAGCGCGCCCAGCAGAGATTGTATAACCGGCCCGCCCAACCCAGAGAATTCCACCCAGGGGACAAGTTGATGATCCTGATACCCACCACAACCTCGAAGTTCCTCGCGTCCTGGAAAGGACCATACACGGTGGTAGAAAGTCCGTCAGCCGGGACGAAGACGGGAAGAACAGCAATACCACATAAATCTCATGAAGAAGTGGGTTGCAGCTCCACGTCATCTCGTTGCCTTCACTGAAGAAACTCTTCCCGTTGTCCACATAGGTGAGCAACTCTCACCAAACCAGAAGGCGGAGCTGCAAGCCTTGGTTGGTCAGTTCAAGGATGTGTTCTCGGAGAAACCGGGCCGAACCACCATCATCCAGCACAACATCATCACTCCACCTGGCACCATCATCCGGCAAAGGACTTATCGAGTTCCAGAGGCTCGCCGGCTGGCTATCGACGAGGAGATCCAGAAGATGAGGAGGTTAGGTATCATCGAACCATCCCGTAGCCCGTGGTCCAGCCCAATAGTGATGGTCCCCAAACCCGATGGCACCCTCCGTTTCTGCAACGACTTCAGGAAACTCAACGAGATCTCCAAGTTCGACGGATACCCCATGCCTCGGGTGGACGAGCTGCTGGATAGGCTGGGTGGAGCCCGATTTATCTCCACCATTGACCTCACCAAAGGCTACTGGCAGTTACCACTAAGTGAAGACGCCAAGGAGAAAACCGCCTTCTCCACATCCGGTGGGCACTGGCAATACCGGGTTCTTCCCTTCGGGCTCCACGGGGCCCCAGCCACATTCCAAAGAATGATGGACATCCTGCTGAGGCCCCACCAGCCATATGCAGCAGCATACCTGGACGACCTCATCGTCCACTCAGAGTCATGGGAGGAACACCTATCCCGGTTACGGAGGGTGCTCTTAGATCTTCGATGGGCTGGGCTCACAGCTAATCCCAAGAAATGCCACCTGGGGCTAGCCGAAGCCAGATACCTCGGGTTCCACATTGGAAGAGGTCTCATACAGCCACAACAAAACAAGGTCAAAGCACTACAAGAAACTCCACAACCCACCACAAAGACCCAGGTACGTGCATTTCTGGGGTTAGCGGGCTACTATAGATGCTTCATACCTAACTTCTCATCCATAGCCAGCCCTCTGACAGACCTGACCAGAAAGGGGCAGCCGGAGAGGATAAGATGGACCAAGGAAGCAGACGACGCGTTCCGAGCCCTGAAGACGGCCCTCACATCCTCACCGGTACTGGCTCCGGTAGGAGCCGGGAGAGATGAGGGGGAAATGAAGACTCCTACTGGAGGGTGACGGGCGACATAAGTGCTCTGGGTGTGTTCCTGCGGGAACAGAGCGTGAGGGTGGCAGCACTATATATAAATGACAGGTAATGACAGGGCAGGGAAAGAACTCCTGCTGGAGTTAGGTGAGTGAAAAGGGGGAGAAGGTTGAGTGCAAATCAGCTGGAAGGAAAAAAGGAAGTTAGATGGCTGGGTCGTGCCCGCGCCCTTGGGAGACTGGGTAGTTCCTCTGCCCTCGGGAAGCTGGTATGGTTGGGTCGTATTCTCTCCCTGGACTAGGCCCATGCCCTTGGCCACTGGGATTACTGTGTCTGTTGGTGAGGGTCCTCTGAGCTTCCCTGAGATGGCTGTGGCTGAGTCAGATATAAGATTTGAAGGCGTCGGGAGACCACCTTCCTAGTGTTTGTATGTGTTGTTGCGATAGCCCTTGTGTGCTGCTGTGGTGGCGGTTCCAATTCTGAATGAGTGACTGGATTATGAATCTGATGGAAAGCCTGAATAGTCTTATGACTTTAAAGTGTTTTTGGAACCAAAACATGTTATTGGGTGGTGTGTGTCGTCTATGAAAAGGGGGCTAGGGGACTTGCGCTTAGTGTTTTCCTACTGTAAAATTACATTGTTTTGTTCTTGGTTGTGCTTGTGTGTAAAAGAAGTTAAAGCATTTTAAATTTGTGTTAACTGGATGCATTTTCTGTCAAAACAACAAGAAATGTGTTAATTGTATAGCCATGCACGAAGACGGATGTTGTGCTAACTGTGTTAAGAGTTTAGGAAACTTGTTAAATGTATTGATAAAAATGTCATAGCAATTGTAAAAAACTGTAAATGTACATTATGATGAAAATCTGTATGTTCATAGCTGATTAATAAGAGTTCAGTACAAGAAAAAGGCATACCATTATCCCCAAACGCAATTGTTTCCCTGTTCTAATGTAAATCCTGTAAAATCTTAGTTAAAAATAGGCCAATTAGAACATAACAAAGACTGTTTCATTGCACATGGGCTTATGCGTTTGATTGGTCACAACATTTACAAGTGAGATTACAACAATGATAGTTTTTCCCTTATTTTTAAGTTTATCCAAGTTGGTGAAATTTGCAGCTTAATGAGGCAACATTTTTCACTGCTGAGTATGTGTTTAATGCACATTTACCTTTTGTCAAGTATATTTTTGATTAGTTCATCCACATACAACTGCAACAAAGGTTACTCTGGTGGCTTAAAGATAGCTAGTTCTAGATAAAATAAACACTTCATTTGAAAAGATTTAACAAGGAGTCTACTAAATATGTTACATTTTTTTGATAAAGTATGATTGTTTTGCATGCATTTATTTTAGAGTACAACACACTGTGTGTGTGTGTGTGTGTGTGTGTGTGTGTGTGTGTGTGTGTGTGTGTGTGAGAAAGAGAGAGAGAGATGTGATGTTAATGTAAAATACAGAGGAGAGTTCTTTTTGTTGTTTTCGTTCTTGTTCTTAAAAAAAAGTTCTTAAAAGTTTTTGTCTTCAAGCACTTTCTGTCAAGAGGAAGTGTTTGATTAAAGGCACGCCCTGAAGTCTTTGAAACTCATTTATTACAATCAAAGCAGCTCATACTGCAGATTTGCTCATGCAATGATACTGTTTACTCCACTCTTGCACTTACTAAGGTAAGACTGGATTGTGTTGCATGATATATTATTAATTTTACGTTCACATAAAGATGATTATGACTGTTTTATTTTTTTTAAAATACGTTTTCAAAAATATGGGCTGTATTACCAGATGTTGTAAAACCCGTGCTGTATGTTTTGCAAATAAACTTAAAGGTCCACAGTATTAATAAATTCTGTATAAGTGTTGTTCACACGTCATGCTAATAAATATATTAACTACCATGAACTAATAAAAACTCATTGTAAAGTGTGACCAAAAAAATCATAATAGCAAAAAAATCTATTAATGGTATATTTTTGGTATTTATCTATTCAAAAATAATAATGTTTTAAAACAAAATCTTTTTTTTTGTTTTATGGAGAAAAATAATAAATTCGAAGTGATCATATGTGTCACATGTTTGTGTTTTTAGTCTCATATGTTGCAGTGGACTATTTTGAAGCTTCCTGAAGCTGAAGAAAAAATTCTGGATTTAAAGCGGTTGGCTAAACCTTTTTTTTTTTTTTTTTTTTTAATTTTACACATGCTTATTATTATTATTATTATTATTATTATTATTATTATTATTATCGTTATTATATTTTCTGCAATCTTCAGATTAAATTGTATAACATGCATCATTCAAATTCATAAAAATTCTTCATTACAGAACCGCCATGTCAGAGTTGGTAAACACCTCTAATGATGACGATGGCTCCAGCCAATCTTCTGGGTCATCAAACACATCACAGACATTCAGCAACAAAAACAGTAAAGAAACTACACTTCCAAAATCCTCACAAACATCTACTCAAAAAGAGACTGAAGACAAAAGTGATCCTTCATCATTTACCAAACGTTCAGCAATCAGTCCAAGAAAGTTGCTGTTAAAACTGCAATTAGCTGATAAATATGCACAAACTGACCATAATGAGAAGCTCAGTGAAAATGACCTTAAAGACAAAAAGCCTGAAGAAGAGGAGAAGGAGGAGGAGGATGAAAATGAAAATCTTTATATAGTTTCTAGTGAATTCATAAACATAATGTCGAATGCCACAGATGATCCAGACTCAATCAGTGTAGATATGAAGGAAGTAATTGACGCTAAGCCTAATGAAAAAACAACAAAACTAAAAGATAAACTGACAGAGTTGGAGAATGTTACTCTTAACATGGCTATAACTGGCATGACAGGAGTAGGAAAGTCTTCATTTGTCAATGCCCTGCGAGGCCTTCGTGATGATGATAAAGATGCAGCTTTCACAGGAACAACTGAGACCACCATGAAGCCAAACATGTATGAGCATCCCTTTATGCCCAACGTGAAGATCTGGGACCTGCCTGGAATCGGAAGTCCAAAATTCAGAGCAAAGAAATACCTAAAAGATGTCAATTTCCACATGTATGACTTTTTTTTCATAGTGACCTCAGAAAGGTTTAGAGAGAACGACATTGAGTTGGCCAAAGCCATCAAGAAGAGCAACAAGCTGTTTTATTTCATACGCACTAAAATTGACAATGACGTTCGTGCTGAGTCCTACAAAAGAAACTTCGATGAGCCTATGCTGCTTGATAAAATCCGAGAAGACTGTAAGGTGAACCTACTGAAAGTGCGTATTTCCAAAATATTCCTAATATCTTCATTTCATTTGGAGAGATATGACTTTCAGAAGCTGGTCAACACCCTTGAGGAGGAACTTCCCAAAAACAAGAGATTTGCTCTCATACAGTCTTTGCCTGTTTATTCCCTCGAGGCCCTCACAAAGAAGATAACCTACTTCAAGAAACTCATTTGGCTGAATGCTGTTGGGGCCGGAGTAGGTGCAATTGCTCCAATCCCAGGAGTGTCACTGGCCGTTGAGTATGTCATCATGAAGAAGTTCTTTAAGCAAGTCTTCATGGCATTTGGACTATCAAATCAGGCACTGGAGGTACTCTCAGGACGAGTGAACAAACCTGTGAAGGTTCTGAAAGCCGCCAAGACATCACGCTTCAAAGATGGAATCACTGAGCATATTCTGATGGACATGATATCTAATCCAGTCATTGCTATTGCCGTAACTCTGGGAACCATAATGGCTCTGCTGCCCGGAGGAGCTCTGCCCGCAGGAGGCACGGCTGTCGCAACTGTGCACTACTTGCTGAATGTAGGACTCAGGGAGATGGCAGATGACACAAGGAAAGTTCTTGCCATCTCACAACTTGCCTAATAAAATGCAAAAAAAAGAATCTCAATTTCTCTCGTAACACTGACCCTATAAACACCCTCTGACTCAGCCTACTAAATTTCCAAACTGGAAAGCGATTAACAGATTTGTGTGGTTTTGATTTTGTCAGTCATGAAAATATGTTGTTTTTGAAAATAAATTTAGAAAAATCTAATTATCAATGTCTTTTTAGTTTTGTTTTAATATAAATCATTTGAACACAAAATACTGTGTTTGTTTTCCCAGTGTAAACATCAGTTTCAGACTACATTCTCTAGGATTTTGTCAGTTTATTTCATTTCTGTTTACATTAAACCATATGGACTGTATGCTGAATATGCTGGATTTGTAATAATTTGAAATAAACTTCTAGTTGTTTAACCTCTTAAGGCCATTTTTTATTTATCTTTGCTTATTGGTTATTGGTTATTGCTTATTTGGGCTTATTGGAACCTAATTAGAATAAAAACCTAAGTATCATCATTTGATAAGATGTACTTTTAGAGAAACATTATGTCCATATATGTGGACTCAGGGTCCGAATTTACATAAAACACGTTTGACTGTTTTTAATGCATTAATAACACATACATATTTTTGAACATGTTTTGACCATCAGAGAGTGAAAACATTTTTTTTTGCCCATTTTGGACAGTTTAAAATAGTGTTTGGAACATTTCAAATGCTGCAAAACAGTTGCAGGATGACACTGTATGTCTGTATCAAAATATAAAACATTCAAAGTATTTTAAATAACAACTAAAATATGCTGTGCACGTATGTGGCCACTAAGCCCTAGGAGGTTAAAGTACTGAATTTCTTTCCCTGTGATTCGGCTAATTAGAAGACTTCATTCTTTACACTTTTCCAACTTTATCAAATAACTTAATAAAAACCATAGATACGTCTAAAAAGAAATAATTAAAGACCACTCCTCCAAACAAAGTCCAAACGCAGCAAATCTTCTGGTCAATTTAAAGGATAAAAGCCATGCAAGAAACTTGAAAACTTGTACAATTTGAAACTTGTATAAGAATCTTGTGAAACTCAGCTTCAAAACTATACAGGACCCCAGCGAGGGTCAAAAAGCAAATCATAAAAATATATGTTTGCAAATAATATAACTTAATAAAATGCTATTTATAACTATATGTCATATTTTTTTCATGGGTATATGCAATTTATGGACTGACTAAGCATCTCACTTCTCTATAGAAGTCATTTTAAGCAGTGCATTGTGAAAAATCTTCATCAAAGAAGTGTTGTCAAGCTGTCATCACAACAGAGTAAACACACAAACACACACACACACACACACACACACACACACACACACACACACACACACACAAACTTTGTTAATCCAAACAAAGTAAAATCATCCATGTTCAATTTTGTGTGTTTTGGAAGTATTTGAATTATTAAAAAATGGAAATGAGAGAGCTGCCATATCTGCATATGATGTCTTGTTACTGTACATATGTCTGCTGTGTAGACCATATTAAGACTATGTAAAAAAGTATTCACACTATTTAATCCTATTAAACTGATTCATGATAAACATCAAAACCTGTTTAGCAAATTAAATAATTTACGCAACTCCACATTATTGTCAGGGTTCTGCCACTCTGGTCTTTGTAAATTCTTGTTTTGGTAGCAGAGCTCTGACACTACCCATGTCCGGTCCTGTTTCTGTCTCTGTGTGCGTGCGCGCCGTCAAGGGTGTACGCAGAGTGTGCGCGCTGCCGCTTGATGTGGCCGCGCACGCACTGCGTCCATCAGACGTGCGCGCTCTTGTACTAGTGTTTGTGTTTGTTCTGTCAGCAGCGCGCTGCTTTATTCTCGGCGCCTCCGTCTAGTTTGTTTCAGTTTTGGTTGGCGCTGAGATGAAGCATGCGCGTTGCTTATGTGTGAGCGCACGGTAAGGTGTTCATCTATCGTGTGCTCGTGTCTTGCGTCTTTTGTCAAAGCACGTGGCCCGATGTTTACATTGTGGTCATGTGCTTTTTGTCGTGTGCTTCAGTGTTGTGCTCGTCTTGTCATGAACATGCGGTTGATGAGTTCTCTCCAGTGGCGCCCCCAGAAAATTTTCTTAGGGGTGGCCAGAAGAGGCCGCACCAAATCTTGGGGTGGCACACAAAAAAAAAAAAATTATAAATTCAGTGTAATGTTATATTTTTGTGTTTGGTAAATGTAATAATGTAGTTTTTATTCATTTAATTAATTCTTCTTGAAATATTGCTATTTATTCCTTGAAGTAATTCAAGAAGTACATGTGCAAACCAAATAAAAATCTATGTTTAGTTTAAAAACACTTTTCATATATATATACGGCTTTTATTGTACATCATACGGTATATGCCATGTCTAAAATTAATGAAGATTAATGAGTTTATTATTCCCAGAGATGGGTTGCTGCTGGAAGGGCATCCACTGTGTAAAAATGTGCTGGATAAGTTGGCGGTTCATTCCACTGTGGCGACCCTGGATTAATAAAGGGACTAAGCCGAAAAGAAAATGAATGAAAGAATAATGAGTTTATTAATAACCCAAACAAATGATCAAACTGAAACAAAAAGGCATTACTATACACACTCACTATACCAAATAATATCATTTATCCATATTACTTTTTGAGCCATTTTATTAATGCAGCTTCTTCTATTGATATACTGTACCTTAAGGTAAATATTAATTTGCCATTGCTGTCTATTGAAGGTGTGTGCGTGCTGTCAACGACGATCGGGAAGGGTAGTGGTGGTTCTAGTTTAAATGACACCCTGGGCGAGCCACCCTATACACCCCACCTCCCTTGAATTGTTAGATTTGTTATTCAATAAATATAAAAATTTATTTATATTTATTTTAAATAAATACAATTAATATTATTATACAATTATTATTCTGAATAAATAACAGAAATCAATCCTAAATATTACTGGAAAAGAACAACTGGAGTGATATGCCAAGGTCACTTAAGAAACCTTTTGCATGAAAATTAATTATGACAATTCTAAAGAATACAAAAAATGTATTATAGAATTATCTGTGGTCTTAGACCAGATCTGAGAAATCATGTTATGAAGTCTTACCTCCCTGACTCATTATCCCTCCTTTCTGCTTTAAAGGCATGCTTAGTGAAAGTAACATCATCATCATCATCATATTATATAAACTTTAGTCGACTTTCACCTCTGCACAAAAGGCTGTTACTCCGTTTCACGGCGCATGAGCGGCGCGTACTGTATTTTGTCGGCGTGCATGCAAACAACCAACCGGGATTCACACAGGAGTGCGTGAGGCGCGCGGGAATGGTTTTCTGCGCGCATGCGTCAGTTTGCTTTCACCAGCATTCAGCATTGAACCAGCACTAAGGGGGAGAGACAATGAATCAGCTACATCAGTAACACCAACAATAATTTAGTGGCTCCATTTTATTTATTTAAACGTTGTGGATTTATAAGTACATAATGTCAACAGCAAAATTATATTGGGGTGGCCAAAGGGGTGGCCACAGGGGTGGCCAGAGTTTACCGAGGGGTGGCCGTGGCCACCCCTGGCCACCCCTTGGGGGCGCCCCTGGTTCTCTCATTGGCCGCATGTTCTTGTCATGTGAGCGCATGGCTTGTGTTGACTCTCTGTATCATGCGCTCTCCCGTCTATTGTCTAGTCCCACCCTCCTTGTTAACCCATTATTAGTTAATTATGTTCATCTGTTTTTTGTTAATTTCCTACAGTTTATAAACCCCTTATGTCTGCTGTCCTGTGCGAGTTCGTCATCATATGTTGTCGATGTTTACCTGTCCTGCTGTGTCCAGTCCTGCCTGCCCAGTCAAGTTTGTTTGTTTGTTTGTTTGTTTGTTTGTTTGTTTGTTTGATTTATTGTTTGTTGTAGTAGTGTTTTCCCCCTCGGGGTTGTTTATTTTTGCCTTTTATTTTATTTTATTAATAATAAATCCTACTTCACTCTGCGCTTGGGTCCTCGCTCCTTTTTCCCTTTACCGGAACGTGACAGTACGAACTCGCCAAAAATGAGGATCCAGCAGAGTGAAGACAGCCCCTTCTCCAGCCGCATACTGCAGCTCATCAGTCTGCAGTCGCTGCGGCAACGTGGCATGAAGGTGGAAAGTTTTGCGGCTAAATTTTGTGTGGCAGCAGAGGGGCTGGGGTTTAATGATCAAGCCCTGGTAAACCTCAACTATGCCCTCGACAAGCCCCTCAATTTCCAGCAGATGCTTGAGTTGGGAGGGCTATCTTACCA